TATAATTACCATTTCAGTCAAAGAAAAAATATCAAATTAATCAATTATCTAAATAAAAATATTAAAAGGTGCAGCCAGGTTCCAGAGTTCGATAATAGTGGAAAAGGCCATTGGGACTGCAGGCAAAACACTAGTTTCCTACTATTTGTTAGGAGTTAAATGTCATAAATCAATAAAAAAACAAAGAAGAAGCAGTATAAGTAGTTTCCCCTTCTGATGGAAATTAAAAGAGCCAATTTTGGTTCCAAAAAAATAAAATTCCTATAATAATTTTATTTTTCTTTAACCTTGTAGAATTAAAGTCAATCAGACCTTTGATCTAGAATTTATACACTTTTTTTTTTTTTTTTTTTGGCCACCTATCCTAATTAAGCCTTACTAGTAATTAAAATTACAGCTTTAAAGGACAGGTACTGAAATATTTCTGTCATATGTTAGCCCTCAAAGACCAAAGGCAGTCCTTGGTGAGGAACATGGAAACAAGCTTTTATTAAGGGATTCCAATCTAATAGAATGATTCAAAAACCTACACTTTTATACCTGGTAGCATGACTCATTTCTTTGATTTGTTATGAAATTATCTAACTTTCAGCTTTTTTAATCAATGTTAGAAGTCACTCTTACAATTAGGCAGTCAAAAGGTTAACTTATGCTTTTGGCAACTGTTGGTGTTTGTGTTACAGGACAGTCCTTTCTGAACATGTGAAATGCAGATTTCCCCTCATACATCTATCAGAAAAGAACAAAGCCTAAGGCCTTTGCCTTCTCTTCCATGCATTTGTGTAGTAATTATGCACTTTTGTTATGTTCTGCTAAAACTCTCACATTTGGCTACTTCAGACAGGTACACTAAAGCATGATTTGGGTTGGGAAGTCTGAATTGTGTCAGAAAATGCAAAAGCACTATGGATTTTTCCTTGCACGAAAATTAGAGTTCTGACAAATCATATCAGAACCCAATCCCTTCAGCCAATCACTTACTCTGTGCAGGAACCCAGCCATGACTGTAAGGTTCATCTCTCAGAATCAGCTCACCAACCAGCTAAATTTGCCTGTAATCGAAGTATGTATTACATCAGGATTTTTTTCCCAGCTGAGCTTAATACTTGTGTCCCCAATGTTTCTTTTGAAACTCAGTTCAACAGACTATCAGGCAGAGTCTAGATGTCTGCACCAGTCAGTGAAATGTAAAAATGTAATGTAAAGATTCTGTAAGTAAGCTTTGCAGAAGACTTTGATAAGAAGCGATCCCGACCTAGATGTATTTTAAAGTCATCACTTTCTCTCCTGCTATTGCATGGAGATTTTCTTTTCTTAATGCCTTCTATAAGCTTCCAGTGTGGTAAAAGTTTAACAAATGAAAAAAATCTTCTGCCTATAGCTGGAACTATATACTAAAGTTTAAAGTTATAAACAAGGTCAGCAATACTAGGTACAACTGTTGTCACTCTTTTGAAGATAGCAGTTGTCCTGGTTTAGGGCAAATTTGGGAAAAATAACATATATAAAATATTATATGTATATATATATATATATAAAATAATATAATATATATAATATTCAGCATAAACAAAACAGATGACTGGGGATACAAGCATCATAAAGTCACCCTAGGACAGTGGTAAAAAGCAGGCAATTGACTTTAGGTAATCAATTATATGAAAGAAAAGATTCTTCTAACCAAGACATAAATATACCAAGAAGTATCTCAGAGTCTGAATTAAGCAGACAGGGAAGATTCATAAGTCTCATTAAGAGAGACATCACTGGAATAAGCACCAGACAGCCATAAAAGACAAACAGTTAAATAGCCTCTCCCATTGCAGGGTTCTGCATGCACTTACTGCTATTGTTGTTTTATAACTGCCTGAGTTAATGGATAAATCAATTACATAATTGTCAGCGCAGGAACAGATCCTTACAAGTTCTACCTACCTAGATTTGTTTGCTGAAGTGACACTAAACTCACTTGAATAAACTGGTAGCTGCATCACTGCAAATCACAGTATTGTTGTTTGTGATGCAAATATACATTTAGTTTTGTATTTCTCTATTTGAGTATTGATTTTTCTCATTTTTGATGTACGCTGACAGTGTCAAGAATCAGTCTGGGTATGTTAATCATCACCAAAATGACACCAAGTTCACTGCACTGCTCTTTCCTTCTGTGAATGTCAATGGCAAATGCTTAAAATCACCCTGACTAACACGTGCAACATGTACAGGCAAAAGATGCCAGCTAGGTTCACAGAGCAGTACATAGTCCATCTTAGCAGTTAAGTGCCATAACTTGAGTGGAAAACAGGCCGTGAAACAGAAGGCATACAGCTAAGTATCTCTGAAAACCATCTCTGAATCGCTACTTTCCTTGAGGATGTCTCCTGCTAGCCTGCATTTAATCCATGCAAATGGATTAAATCCCAGAAGCACATTTTTAAAAGAAAAACAGACTTAGAGGAATGTTTGAAATCCAGCACTCCTGAGAGACCCACCTGCCTACTCAATAATACTGTACCTTCTGTAACATGCCAAGTTTTTAACTGTGCCTGTAAATATTTCAATGTCTTGGACAAGGTTTTAGTTCCCTAACACATGAGGAATTCTTGATACAGATATTCTTATCTGTGCTATATTGTGGCAATGTCAGCCTAATAATAAATTGAATTCAGAAGGGGTCTCTTCTGTTTGCAGACAACATTTTTGTGATCTAAGGTTTTATACAGCTAGCTGCTGACATAATGACTCACAATCATCCCTTTTTAAATAGAGGGAAAAAAACAAAGACAAAACTAGCAGTTAAATACAGGTTAATTTTACACAACTTGCTACTCCACAAGGCCACACAGGTAGCTGATGTGCTGTTTGTCCTTAGCTAAGCACAAAACCTCAGCATGAGGGTCTCCCCCTACACACTGTTCCCAGAAATCAAACTCCAAAATGACAACTGCACTGTCTAGTCCCTTAGCAGAGGCTGGAGACCCAAACCAGGGACATTTCATCTGTGCTTATCTGAGGGTGCAGCATCAAGCACCCCTGCAGCACCCAGACAAAGGGTCAGAAGGAGATGGAAGAGGTAAAAGCAAGGTCCTGCACAAGGCTCTGCTGAGAACCAGCCACTCTTAAAACTCAGGTCCCCTCCCAAACTACTCACTCTGGGTTTCCACAGCATACCAAATATTTACAGGACTAGGAAAGTTGTCCCCAACCCCAAGGTTTGCTGGAGATTTCGAGACACTTGTAAAAAGATTTTAGTTTCAACAAGAAGCAAGTTCAAGTGTAAATCAAGATTCTGATAGAGGTTTTATCTAAAATATTAATACAGCATTATTAATATGGCTTTAAAAACCTTATGAGCGCTTTAAAAGATTTGGATTGAAAAGTAAAATCTCCTAAAACATTCTGTTTGAAAGCAAGCATATAAAGGAGAATAAGTTTTTCTGCCAAACTGAGAGGTTGTAGCTTTCTCTTCCTTTCATCTGCTCCTTATTACTTTACTTGTTGTTCTGTTAGACATATCCTAGTCACACAGATGTGGCACTAATCACAGGGTATGAGTTGCCAGCTGCCTGGGAGGATAAAGCTACTCTGACATTATCCCATCAGGCACCCAACAGTGACTTAGGAGATACAGCCATTTAGCTGACCCCTTTGTAAAGAAACAGGTACCATCTGAGCGTGCTGGGAAATCCTTTCCAATGCAGTGAGCCCCCACACACAATTCAAGGTTTAAAGTATAAGAAAAAAGCAACTCCTATCATTCCTATCATTTCACACACTGATGTTAAGAACAAAAGTCCTGAGACTTCCAGTGAGAGTCTTGCTTGTTGAAGATGATTATGGCTTAGCACGTTACCCCAATAAAAAATATTTCTGCATTGAAAAACAAAGATTATTGGGGGGCATCAATTGCACTTTACATGTCAGACTCGATTTTAGTCTAAGATCTACACTTGAAGATACTTCTGCCACAAAGCTTCGGCACAGGTAAAGAGGAATCATTAAGATTCTTCCTCTGAAAACCATCCAAATTTCCAGATTTTCATGGAAGCCCAAGGGGTAAATCTTTAAAAGCTTTTCAGTATTTGAGACTTATTTTAAGCCATGGAGATGACAGAGCACAACAAGCCATACCAAAGCCAGGCACAAGAAACCTATCTCCTAACCTTTGTGCTGTACCTAGTAAAAAAAGGTGACCTGTACTGTCACCCCTGGTGTGGATGCTGAGCATGTTGTGGCAGGGAAGGGGACAATTTGCTGGGTACCAGCTCCACAGTTGTGTGCCAGCCTCACTGCCCTGCTCTCTGCTCACCACGCTTCACTCAGAGAAATATCTCCTTCCTCCTCCGCCCTTGCCACCCCACTCTCCTCCTCTCACTGTCCAGCACTTCCATCCCAAGCTGGATCAAAGTGTGACTGCACCCGCTGCACCTGACAGAAGGTGTGAGGAGGACACTGAATCTCCATGCTGCCAGAAACAAAGATTTCATGTCATTCAAATGAGCCTGTGTTGTGCTGAGTGTGGCATCCGTTAGCAAGAGTTGCAGATTCAAATCATATCTCAGGACTTCTACTCATGGTTTCTTGTGTCTCAGTTACTCACCACACAGACCAGCAACATTGCATGCATGAGCAGGTCTCCCAAAGGCATGCAAGAAACTCAGAGAATGAAGTCTAAACTTTCTCTTCTTCCTGTGATTCTCATTTCATGGGCTTAGCAGCACTACCAGCCTCCTTTACACCCTTAAATATTAACATGCTTTTCTCTTGATGTGGGATCCCTCATTACCATATGAATAAATGATTAATGGTCACTGTACCAAACAAGTGCAACTTTTATAACTATATGAATCAGCACTGAGCCAAACCCTTCAAGAGTAGTAAGAGTTTTCTGGCATTTATTGCACTTTATTGCTTCCTGGATCATTTAAAAGAAGTCACTGACGAACAACTGCAGGCTTGAAAGTTTACTGTGGATGTAGTGAGCAGTTCTGTATTTCAAAATGCAGACAAACTTTCTTTCCCAGCAATTTAATGCTGGTTCTTTGGCAGAAAACTCCACGGCTTGTCCAGCAAATGCTACTATTTGTGATGGCACCTCTTGTGTATTGACAGGAGATAATTTTAATCACACTTTGAGCGTAGTTTTAAGTACTGTTCTAACAATCATGCTGGCTTTGGTGATGTTCTCCATGGGCTGCAATGTGGAAATTAAGAATTTCTTGGGCCACATAAAAAGACCCTGGGGTATATTTGTGGGTTTCCTTTGCCAGTTTGGAATTATGCCTCTCACAGCCTTCTTGCTCTCTTTGGCCTTTAACGTCCTTCCAATTCAAGCTGTCGTGGTGATGATCATGGGATGCTGTCCAGGGGGCACAGCCTCGAATGTCATTGCCTACTGGGTGGATGGAGACATGGACCTAAGGTAAGAGCAGCCGTTCTCTAAATACTTCCTGTGGCTCTTTACATGTAAATTGTAAATTTTACATTGAAAAGGACTATCTGATCTGCCTGATGCTTTTCTTAGCTTCCTGGCATATGCATGCTGGTTTCTCCTTGTAAAGATGGTTAGTTACTGTAATTGAAGTAAATATAAGAAGAATAGCAAATATCCTTGATTCATTGGGAATTCATGAGGAAGATATCACAACAGAATTGTGTATATTAGAAAATACCTTTATTGTTAAACTTCAGATCCTGGAGCAAATATCATCTATGAAGACAATTAAAATAATATACACTATGAAAACTTTGCCCAAGTTAAAATTACTTTTCTTTCTCCCAAGGCCTTTAATAGTAAAAATATTTTTTTTAAAAATAGCTTTTTGGGACCAGAATCCTCTCTACAAAATAGTGGCTATGCAACTTTTCTTGAAGTAATATTTCTTTAAAAAGAGCTCCTGTGGAAAAATATTTTCCCTCCTTTTGTGTTCTATACAATAAAAAGACAGGTATTTCTTTTCTCAATGAATATTAGTTCTAACAAATACTTGTGATAATTCTTTCTGCTCCTGGAATCTTATGCAAAGTCTTCAAACTAAGGGAACATTTTACAGGCTAGCAACCACTTCTTAAGGCAGGCCTGCACATCAGGGGCAATGAAAACCTTCATTTGTGGCCATGTGATGGTCTCAATGACAAAGTGTTATGAACTCAGAAACAGATGTGTAAGGCAACTGACATGGTCTAGGACATCAAACACACAGGCTCTTGATGCAAATTCTATGGGGGATTTATCAACTCTAAGAGCCTCTAAAAATAAGTCATCTTTTTAGTTTTATATCCTGATTACTTCGGTCTAAAATAAACAGGATCATTTGTCTCTTTCCTACAGAGTAAAATAAATTGGAGCATTCATCCAATTTATCATATGCCAGTCTTAACTAGAAATGGAAAAAATAGTAGAAGCAAGAAAGATGTGGAGCTAGAATAAATAGTCTAAGAATGCTAACATCTGTAGCTTTAGTACAACATTTTTTTCATCCTTTGGAAATATTGAACTTTTCTGTCACATATAGGTTTTAATGTAAAAAAAGCTTTCAAATTATAAATGAGGTTAGCTCTGTTAACCCTTGACTTCCTCATTGTAGAGGAAAAATCTATGATATTAAGAACTGTAAGACTCTTAATTTCAATTAATACAGATCTAAGAAATCACAGACAAGAAGATTGAGTACAAGGCTGAAATTTTGTTCTAATCTCTCCCGGAAAGAATAAACTGAGCTAAACTATGCTTGATCAGCTCTGTATGTGCAGGATTGCTCTAATGATATCAATGGTAAAAATTCAAATTTATAATGCTATAAACCTGAACAGGATTTCTATCCCATGATGTTGACAAAGGGTGAAGTTAATTTAAAATGCCTTTAAAAGTTTCTTGTTCAGGTAAAGACCTCTACTTTAGGTCAAAGGCTTTTGGTCAGTACCTTTCCAACAAAGATGCAGGGACCACAGGATACAGGAGGTACAGGAGATTGTCAAGGCAAGCATCTTCTCTTCTCAATAGAAGAATAACATTAGAAGTTGTGTGGATGGTTTCTGGAGCTACCACAGTATGATAAAAACCTGCCCATCATATCAGACAATGTTTTGGTTTTAACTGTAGTATTTTATGATTATATATTACAACACATGGTCATTGTATATACTTTTGTTTCAAAACCTCTCTGTGCAAATAGACCACAAGTTAGAGAAGGCATTAGTTTTATAATTAGCATTATAATCATAGTCAGGTGAAGTATGATCTTTCATGTCTTTCTTAGTAAATCAAACACAGCTGATATCCTCTAATGATTCCCCATAGAGATATCTCTTAATATTTCACAATAACAACTGCTTCTGTAGAAAGAGGGTTAGGGGATGGCCAGACTTTGGAGAAGGAGGTACATTCAGGAAAAGTATAAAGATACAGGAAGTACAGAGGTAGGGAACATGAGGGGTTTTTTTCCATTTGGGAGTTCATCAAACCTTAATTGTAGCCCGTAATTCTTTTTCTCTGTAGGAGAATTCCATAGGAGCTCTTTTGCTAAAGGCTCCTGCAAAATTTTATTCAATGACTCTAAAGCAGAGAATGACTGGAACCAAAATGAATGCAGATATTCCTGTGGTTTCTGCATTGATTCTTCTAGATTTCTCTGGATCTGCTCATTTGTGGGCCAGGATCAGTAGTCCCTTTTCTGAGGATAAGCAGCAATAAAGATAAATCTAAAGTGAGGTTCAGAAGAAAACTTTCAAAATTTCTTGACTAGAACCCTCTCTCACTATTTTTATACCAGAAAAATGAGATTTGTATGCATAATTTTATCCATTGTATTCCAATTCCAATGTCTTTTCCTATTCCTTCACTCCTGTAACAGTACATCTTTTTGTACAACAGAAAACAGAAATATCTTTGCAAAATGCAGCAACAATACTTATGCTAAGCCTCACTGAGTGATTCTTAGTACCTACTTTTTGGCCTTGAGCAAAACAAGCCAGAAAAGGGAATTTTATTATATCACGAATTGTAGACAATTTGAGTTCAATTTTAACACTCTAGAACTGCTGCTATAATGGAAAGCTCCATTTGATGTCCATTTCTGCCCCTGTTCCCTGCTTGCCATCCTCTCTGAAACCAGCCAGACAGGCAGCATGGAGACAGATTTGACAACAGACCTTTCTGCTGGCCACCTGTCTGACTGCCTCCTTTGTACCAAAAGTTATGGTTCTGTGGCTGCAGAACACCTTGATTTTTCACATTCTTTTCTTTTCAGCAGAAGCCATTCTTTTCATTTAGCTTTTCTCTAACCTGATAAATTGTCTGTAGCCAGCAACATTTCTTGCACAACCTTTCACAAGGTGTGAAATGGTAATAAGAAAACGAGAAAGACTATGGGCTAGCATGAGATGAACTGTCACTGTAACCAATTTCTTTGCAGCATCAGCATGACAACTTGCTCCACACTGCTTGCAATGGGAATGATGCCACTTTGTCTCTTTATTTACACCAAAATGTGGACTGATGCTGATGCAATTGTACTCCCCTATAACAGCATTGGTGAGTCCAGTGAAAGAGTACTTTCCCTTCTGTCTATCCTCCATTCAGGGACAACCACCTCTATACCATCATCCTGCAATCAGGAAGAAATTACCTCAGATTTTTACAAATATTCCTCTTTCTACTTTTTAATAATCTCCATAGGCATTAGGCACCAAAAATCACTGCACATCATCCACAGCTCTGCCAAAGAAAGACTTGAAGTTGTTGTAAATATTGTACAGATAATTATGACAAAATTGTGCATGTTTTTCTTTTTAAATGGCTTTGAGACCTATGCGGTAGTGGGATAAGAATATAGAATAATTCATATAGGAATAATTTCTTCTTCTGGATGAAAGTGTTTATAACAGCTTTAAGACACAATCCTGCAAAGTGGTAAATGCTGAGGCCATAATCTGGCAAAATACTTAGGCACACGTGGATAATTAAGCAAGTGATTAAAGCTGCTGAGTCTCTTTGAAAAGCTGCAATCTACACTGCCAGGAGTGGCTTCATTTGACTTCCTGTCAAAAATCTCATCCAGCTACAAAGAGAAAATAGTTAAAGTATTTAGAAATACATGCTCCAGTGCTTTGCAGAGCTGTGGCCCTAGTGCTTATCAAGTACAGTTCCATGTTGTGCTAATCTTAAAAGCCAGCCGAATCACTTGCACATTCTTCAACTTCACATCCCGTTGTCCTTGGGGAAAAACAAAAATCCAATAGGTTGCTTGTGCTTTCAAAATAAATACTGGAGGGGGAAGGCCAAAACAAAAGAAGCTCTAAACCGGTTCCTGATACGGTACAGTAGTGAAACACCTGCAGACAAAATGAACATTTAATAAAGCTACTCACATCACAGGATAGCGATGATTAGCACACTCAGATTTCTGTCTGCCTTTCTGATGCAGGTGAATGAGCATGTAGCTCAGCAGAATGGCAATTATTTCAACAGGCTGCCAAAGACAACAGAGTCTATAGAAAAGCAAATGGGCAGGTGCGGGTAGAGTGCGCGTGCATGCTCTGGGTGCGCACACCAGAAACATCCCCTGAAAGGCTGCTCCAGGCACACAGTCACTCGTCGTGATGTCTGTCCTGTCGTGAGCTCTTGCACCATACAGGGTCTTGACTTCTCTTTTATTTTTTTACAGGACTTTCTCTGGTAGCTCTTATAATTCCTGTTTCGTGTGGAATATTTATCAACCACAAATGGCCTAGTAAAGCAAAAATCATACTTAAGGTAGGATATGTAAGGCTGAAGTATAAGCAATTATGGACAAATTATGGAATCAGTGGGACCACTGAAGCAGTACATTGCTATTCATAGTATTAGTATCTGACTTCATAAGACTTGGAAAGTTTTCAGAAGAAAACAAATGAGGTGCTGTGGAAATGTATTGCTTTTCCCCTGCACAAACATGCATGAGTTGCATGCATTATGAGAGACCATCATTACCTAAAGAACCTGCTTTTGTCTTCGGCTGCAGCTACGTTAGTAATTGAGTTCAGTGTATAATGTTAACTGAAATTGGAAGGAAAATCATTCAAAGCAGTTTTTCTCTGCAAAACAATAAAAAATAAAATCATTCTGGATCAAAATGCCTTTCTCCTTTTAAGAGAGTTTCCTGCTTTTTATGAGCCAATTTTTATTAAAAAATAATAAACAGAAAATATTCCAACTCTTATACAAACCTTAAAAAACTATTCACAAAATACAGCTGTCTTTGCAAGATGGTTTCAGATACATCAAAAATACTGGGATTTTGGCAAAAATCTGTTCTCATCAAAATAATAATTCAGCCATATATAGGGTGGCAGCAAATTAGCCATTGTGTACATTTGGTTTAGGTTTAAAGAGACTTTCAGATGAGCTAAGATTTTTTGGCCTTTGTTAACCATTCTTACATAAAAAATACATTATCGAAATTTTCTTAAAGAAAACTAGTCTGGTCACTTGTTTTTCTACCTATATTTGTTATCACTTCTTTGCTACTGGCTCAGACAGCATAGAGCACAAGTAAGGTCTTTTTAAGTCAATCCATTTTCATTAAACTGCTAGCTTATCATGTTGCATTTTTAAATGCATTCACATCTTACTATTTCTATTTAATCAGTTGAGGGGAAAGCATGGACTTATACTGACATGTAAAGAATCTACCTGATCTCTCAGCAAAGCCCCATTTCATTCCTTCTTACTGAGTGGGTGAGCAGCCCACAGACGAGAGTTTGCTTTGTGTAGGACAATGAAGCATCAAGTGAAGATTGAGCCATGGCTGTCAGAATAAGGCCTATATAGTGAGAAATTCAGACAAGAGAACAAAGACAGTGTGCCAGGTGAAAGAAGAGCTTGTCATGGCCAGACCATGTTTCTTCTTCCTAAGTGTATGTGGTTAATAGCTCAGCCAAACAAAAGCACTTGTTCACTCAGTGCTCTTAAAAATGCTTCAGCCAAAGACTGATGAAACACTTCAATGGCAATACATGTTTTAGCTGAGGAATAGAGTCGCCTAAGCTTAGACTAAGAAGTGTGTCTCTGAGATCCCTGGCAACACAGGCTATAATGACAGATGTTCCACTTGGATACTGAAAAGAGAGTGAGTTATAACTTTTTTAGGCAAGCAGTGGTAAAGATCTCAGTACATTCAGTCACAGGAAATAAAATAATCTGCAGTGCTTAGGTCTATGTAGAAAGGCTATACAAGCTCATAACCAGTTTTCAAGCATTAATTTTTAGCCTCATTTAAGATTTAGCCCCACAGTTGGCAAATAATTTCCTAGCAATAGCTCACTAGCAAACTAGTGTGTAATTAGCACACACTGTACTAAGCCTCAGAGTGTGATTCACCAAGGAGGGGAGGAAAATGTAGTATTCTACCTACTAGGCTGTCCGTTTCTCAACATCTCTGGGGAAATTTTTCTAATACATGCACCATTCCTCACTCATATCACATCTGTGAAATTATTTTTCATCTCCAGCCCTAAGTACAATTATAGTCAAGGCTTCAAAAGACTAGTTTTACAGATATCTGTTATAGATACCTATTACAGCTCTGTCTTGAACTGTAGTCACACCTTGAAGTACATCATATATCTCCTGTTTGTTAAAACGGAAACTCATCTCTCTGCCTGCTTTGAATTGTATTGCTGTAAACATTAGGTTTCATGTTTAACATGACATTTCAATGACTCATGTTTGACACTATGTTTGTTGCCATTAAATTTCTTTTTGGTCTCATGTGTGCAGTGTTCTGTGGTTCTGTGACTCTGACTCAGTTCCTCTTTTTTGCTTCACAGGTAGGTTCCATTGTTGGAGCAGTGCTCATCGTGCTCATTGCTGTGGTTGGGGGAATACTCTACAAAGGCTCCTGGGTTATCACACCAAAATTATGGATCATTGGCACCATATTTCCAGCGGCTGGCTATACTTTAGGATTCTTTCTGGCTCGTCTAGCTGGTCTGTCTTGGAACAGGTAATGCATAGCCTTTATTCAACTGCGTAAAAAGATTTTATTTAGCAACGAATCAATGCTGAGAATGCTCCCTAAACATTAATTATGTTACAGAGTCACTCATTCACTAAGCCTGTTTTTTGTGATACTACATGCAGACAAAACTTTTCTTGTGCACATTTATTTACAGAATCCGATTATACCATTTCCACCAACCCTTCATATGTTTGCACTTTTTGTGCCAATGTCTTGCACTTCAAGCAAATGAAACAGACCTGACTTTTAAGTGGTTTGGAACTGCAGTAAAACCACTCATGTAGACGCAGCAGTCTACAATTTAGAACATCACTGCAAGAGAAGGAGACAGTGAGTGCCACATATGTGCCTTGAAGGTGGTTCACAGTCTTCTACAGCCGCTGAACTGCCAATAATTTGTGGTACCAGCCATAGGTGGAGTGTTTTGCTGACAATGTCAGCTGAAGGCAACAATTTTCTTAGTTGTCCTTTACATTTTTTGCTTATCCAGATTAGTAAAAAGCATAAGGACCCACTGGATGAAATTTTCCAACTCTCTTTGTATTATTCCCTTTAGGTGTCGTACAGTGTCTCTGGAAACAGGCATGCAAAACACTCAGCTATGTTCCACTATAGTACAGCTCTCATTCACTCCTGAACAACTTGAACTGATGTTTACTTTCCCACTCATCTACAGCATTTTCCAGCTGTTGTTTGCGCTACTAATTTTAGGAGGTAAAGTATGGTAATTTTTTATTATAGAACCATAATTATCATTATTATTACCCGTTTAACTTTTCACGTATATTGAGAAAACAAGAAGGGATAAAAATAATCAAATGTATTTCAAAATCAAAGCATGGCTTTAAAAAAACCTTCTGGAGATGTTGAAATTCTTTAGCAATATAAGGAAAGAAAGTGTTGCATGGATATATGTTACTACAGCATCTTTTTCAGGCAATTTTTATAATTCTTTTTTTTAATACTGTCCATGTATTGATCCTCAGGCTACCGTCTTTACAGAAGACACCATGTCAAAACAAAGACAGACATTGAGAAAACAGCACAAAAAGAGGATTCAAAATCAAGTGCTAAAATAAATGGAGGATTTGTATCAGACGAGATGAAATAGACAATTACATCTGCTTCCACCAGCTGTGAAGATAAAGAATATATGGTTTATTTAAAACTTTTTTTTCACATGCTGTTTTTTCATAGAAATATTCAACAAAAGAAAAAGTTCTGCTGACAGCGAGACTTGTACAGCGAGACTTTAAAATTATTAACTTAAGCAAAATCTACTTTAATTTTTAACATGGTTTTTGCCACAATTGTAGAATCTGGTTTTGAGGCTAATTCGCTAAATTATGGATTATTTCACATTTTATTATTATGGATTATTTAACAAAAAGCAGAATAAAGGTGGGCTATTGCTAAAAAAAAGCAGATATCTGCAACTCCAACCCATGATCCTGCAAATCCATCTGCTAGTCTCAGCCCCACACAAAACAAAAAGAAATCTTATGAAAGTGTCTGAGCAGGAAAAGGAGTTGATATGGAAGATCTGGTAAGGCTTAATATGAATCAAGCATGAAATTGGACCAAGCCAATAATGAAATAAAAGTTTCATTTAGGTCAGTCTGGGCAGACTAAAGCACTGCATTAATTGCTTGAAGCATTAATTTATTCTGAAGCTATAATTTTAGCAAGTGCAAGGCACCTTATGACTCCATTATTTTTCCCAAAGTAATGGATAGTAATAGAAAGTAGCGGTCTTAACTCTTTGGTCTGGGTCTTTTAGGTGCTGGATACAGGAACAGAGAGACAAAGGTGAGGCCTTAAGCCTTGAGCAATTTTAGTGACAGCAGTGACAGCTGCATACAAAGGAGCAAGCACAGGTTCTGGAAGTGTAAGAAATTAGCAGCTTCTGCACTGAAAGAAAGGCATTTGAGAATGGAACAGAAAATGTCCCTGATTCATCCAGGACTGCTTCCACCAATCTTAACAGGAGACAGCAGTTCTTGAAGAGAGTTATATATTTTTGCTATTTTATGAGCTAAATAAATTTGAACCTGCCAGATGTCTATGACATGTAGACATTGGTATAGTTGACAATTTTAAGATTTTATTTATATAAACCACAAATAGAAATAATTGGATGTACACATACATTATATATTGTTTGTTTCTGAAAATTCAAGAGTTCATGTGAAAATCTCTCCTAATTGTGTGGAGAAAATAAGTACATTTCTAGGAGAAACAGTGCAGTAAACTCATTGCAGCTGTAATTTTTTAAGGAAACACTCAGTAACATTGGTCCTGTAGCTGTTATGTAAAGAAAATATCCAGAGAACTTCAGGTAAACGAGTGAGAGGTTGACTGACCAAAAAATTCAAGAGTGAACCAACTATCAACACATGGAAACAATATACCTTTCTGTTATATTCAAGTGGACTTTCCAAGTTTTGGTGAGTTAATGTGGCAGGTTTTGTACAAACACAACTGAAATTTAAGTGGAATTTAAGTTCCCAACATGCAGCTTTCCACTGCTGCAGAAACATACCAGTACTAAAAAAAGAATAAATTATTGTTGTCTACTTTATGTTAGGGAAAGGGTCTCAAAATGTTCCTGAATTCTGTGAGGCTTGAAGCTGCTTTACTTTTGGCGAGGAGATCAGAACAATCATAACTTCCAAGGAGGAGCTCAACACTGAGTTGGAGTTAGTACACAGCAAGGTGTTCTGTGTTTTGCAGAACAAAGATTAGACAAAACAATGTGGCAAAGGCTGTTATGGAGAAATCATAAATTGTGAAATAACACTTTCATCGATAAAAGTGTTATTTCACAATTTCACAAGCTGTTATTTGTAACATCTGTACTAAAATAGTTATTATCTTGGTTCTGCATCCGTAAAAAAAATGGGTAATGGAACTTACTTAGGATCATGTCTTTCTTACACACAAAGCTGCTACTCTTCCCCCATGCTTACTAAACTTCAATTTTTCTGTGCATATTTCAAGCAGATCTTGAAAATGTATTGAAGAATAATAGTTTGTCTTGCTTATATTCTATGTGTGTGACTGTGTGTCTGTGTGTGTATTTAACACAACTGTATAAACATTGAACTAAATAAAGTCAGAAACTATTTATAATTTTGCCCACTGGAGTAATTTAAGGTGAAAAAAGAGTTGAGACCGAAACTGAACATGCAGACAGAGTTTATAGCTTTGAGATGTAACAAAAACATCTCACGTTATGGGTCAAATGGATATGTTTAATAACCCTAGAACCACAGACGGTTTGGGTTGGAAGGGGCCTGGAAATGTCATGTAGTCCAACCTTCCTGCAATGAGCAGGGACATCTTTAACTAGATCAGGTTGCTCAGAGCCCCATCCTACCTGATCTTGAATGTTTTCTTCTAAATCTCCAGCTGTAGAAGTGAAGTCTGGACAACACCAGTATCAGATCACTTGGGGCCTGGGGTGGACTATCTCACAGTAGTGTAAGGAACCACTGGGGAAGATGTGTCCTCTCCCCAGAGATGTCCAAAAAGCTATTTGGGCATATAGAGACCCTATAAGTGCGGGGATATGGGCTGTTCAGTTGCTGAGGTCTAGTGGCCTCCAACCTTTCTGTTATTGTCAAAATATTGGTATTGTCAGAAGGAAAACCCTGGACTGCTGTGATCAGTTTGTTTAACCTGCTCAGTGTCACCTCCTCGCATTCCACAGTATGAAAATCCTTTCAATGAAAGGCAGTATCACTGAGTCACCTCTACTTTTTAAGCAATCTTCTATGCATGGAAACAACCTGTGGATGGGACATTTCAGCTTGTGCAACTTAAAAGCATCACACGACATTGTCCAGGCTAATAAATGTCCATTCTAATTAAATAAATGTCCATTCTAATTAACTCTTACACATACTGGCAATCAGGAATTTACCATTTCTAAGAAGTCCTACAGACTCTAGGCTACCACTGCTAGTTTACATTTAGATAATCATTCACGGCCAGAGTGCCTGTGTAGTCCGTGACTTTGCTGCAGTGATGGTTCTCAAGCTGTTGCAGTCAAAATGAGATTAAGCATGTCTAAGGACAGACACCCTACAAGTTGAAATGACAGTTGAATTAATGCCTCACTCATCCCAAGGTCTGTAGTATAAGGCCTACAAAGATGCAAAAATCGCACTTGCCAAGCCAGTCTGTCACCATAAATCTGGATATAAATAAGCATTCTCTGGTCAGTGAAGAGAAGGAGACACAACACCACAGATTTAATCATGCCCACCATGTCAGAATTGTCCATCTCTATAAAGTAGATTTAGATGGACTGACTTAGATCAAATACCTAAATTTTTAGTCTCAGACAGAGAAAAAAAGGAAAGTTGAAATTATTACCTCTTTTTATATTTCTTTCTGTTTCTGCATAAGGTCTCTGAGCATCCAGAGATGATCAATCTGTCTCCTTTAACCAGGAAGATAAGCTTTGTAGTTGAGAAAATAAAAACTAGACAAAATAAAAGACTGTTTGGTGATTCTAACCTTCTATTATACAACTTCTAATACAACTAATTTCTCATCTGACTTAAAGTCAGGTAGAAGAGCTGGTTCAGTCATGTAGTGTGCTGTGTTAGAAGAAGTGTAATTTGGGTAGAATTAACAAACAAATTGATTTGTCATTTACATTAAATGAGTTTCTTGTTTCAAACTGTCATGGTTTAACATAGTTTAGATTTTAGTTAAGGTAAAATCTTACCTTTAGCAAAAGCTACATTAGTGATTCCCTGTAAGGACCTTGGCAGCTTCATTCGGACCTAACAGAACAAACAAGCTGGCTAGTTTTGAATATTGACAACCTGTTGAACCACTTAAGAGAGCTGACTACACCTATGTGAAATCACATTTAAAGATGAACAAGCCCCAGGAAAAACTCTCTTGCTTCCTGCCTTTGAACAGGTAACTGGACATTGGGTGGGCCAGGTCCCACTCCACCACATAGCCCACACAGACTGGGGGGACAGCACCTGTGTTGATGCAAGCAAATGTTAAAGTAGCTGTGAGCCAATGAGAAACTTGAAGAGAGAGAGAGAGACATGAGAGAGATGAGAAACCTCACCCCGGGGATAGAAGAAGAAAACCTCTGTTCCCAGAGATAAAACAATAGAACATTTGTTTCTATACTGGAACAGCTCATCCTTAAAATTGCACACCAATAAGCTGAAATGGCCCATGGTGGTAGTTGTGGGAAGACTACCAAACCATGGGAGGGACTTCATGGTTGCAGATTTCTGGGTGGCTGCTATTCATGAAAATTAAAACCATGAGAGAACTGTTTTCTGTGGAAAAGTCTCCATGACATGGCAGGAGAGATTCCTCTCCTTAAGTGAACGGAAGAAAGATCATTTTAGAAGCGGCAAACTGACTGAAAATATCAAATTTTGTCTCTTTACATTGTCAGTAGGAAAAGAAAGAGGAGCTGGGGGCAGAAGTGTTCTGAAGGTTTATTCTGATTTCTTATTATTTTTCTTTTAGTTCTGTTAATAAAGTTTTTTTATACCCTTCAAAGTTTTGAGCCTGCTTTTCTCTCATCCTAATCCTTATCTCACAGCAGAAAATGAGTAAATAGTTCTAGTGGGTGCACTGGCATTTGGCCAGCGCTAGACCCACTACATTAATTGGTGCACTGGCCAGGAGACTCGGATTGGCGTACCAAAACCACTACGCTTAATTGGTGTTTCTGCCCAGCTGAACTGAAACTGCCACACAAACTAATAATGTTTTGATGTTCAAAACCTGCTTTTATAATATCTGCCAGTCAGTATAATTTTTGTCAGCCACAGAAAAGAGAAATGAGCTTATCTTTTCTGTGGTCAAACCAATTAGCATACTGTACACTTGATGAAAATCTAAAAGAATAATCAGTATTCCTGAGTTCCCAGGGTACAGACCTTCACTTCTTGGTATCTAACCAGAATCTGCTCTCCACAGATTAATTGTGCTTGCTTACATCGAGAATTAAAGCAAATATAGTGCAACAGTTCCATAACCAAATGGTAACCAACCAGGCCTGAATGGATCTTTCAAGCCAGAACTGAAGGGCAGTAGAAGTAAATTTCTGCTTCTATCGCA